AGGACACACAATCAATTAAATACAAGTTACTTATTTTTTTCGGCTCCAGTCATCCCTTAGGAGTAGGAGTAGAGTAGATCTCGGTGAGTTCTTCAGCGAGTACGACTGTATCGATCCGGTCGACCTCCACTGCTTGTCTATAAGTACCGTCATGGCTTATACCTCTATTCGTACGGCTGCATCGATCCGGTCGACCTCCACTGCGATTCTGGTATAAGTTAGTTATCGATTCTTGTCTAGTTCAAGTAAGGCTACGTCGATCCAGTCGACCTTCACTGCTCGAATTAGATTAAGGTCAAGTTATTGGCTCTATCTAAGGGCGGCGTTCCTTCGGATAGATTCATTAAGTTATCGATATTGCTTATTGCTTTCATTATTTATTTAATTACAGCAATATCACTTCGCTCGATTGGGATTGATCTAGATCGGCCTTATATCTTGTTTAACACATCGTTTGTTAATCTAAACTGATCTAATCTGTACTTTAAATGATGAGTTATGTTTTATCGGCTGTTTTAGATCTATCTTGATTGTGCATAGCGTGCGGTTAAGACATGTTTGATCTTGAGTAGATCTATTGGCTAGCGAAAACTGTTCCATGGTCCGTTATCACGGCCTGTGTGATTCTGCCTCACACCCCACTGTTAGCACCGTGGAGTGGGGATCGTTATTTGATAAATCTGTTTCTGAATCGGTTGTTTTAGACGATATCGAGTACTTTCATGAACAGTTCACGTTATGAGACCGCTGAAGTAAAGATAGGTTTAAAGATGTGTTAGCCCCATGATCTTATTATTGTATCACGGCCTACATGATTCTGCCTCATGCCCCACTGATATTAGTAATAAATTAGGGTCGTTGAGTTTATTGTTGCTTCTACAACCTGCATGATTCTACCTCATGCCCCACTAGTAATAGCGGTAGATGAGATCTAATATGTTCATTAGATTTATCTTTATTAAATGGTTGAATAATGATAAACTGTTTCTTTTATATAAAAAGAGGTTCGGTTACTTGCTGTCATTGGCTTAGCATAAACCAATTATTTTTTACATCTTTTTACCATTGACCGATATATGTCCAAATAATGATATTCATTCTGAACGATAACCGATTCTTCTTACACAACCCCATGAGCTTTAACTGATTTATTCTTATGAATATGCTGGAATCGACTATTTAGTCGATCTCCTTTCATATCGGCTCTCAGAGCCGCACATTCGGGACTGTTTGGCAACACCGGCATGTTCCGCCCTAAATTGCTGATAAACTTTCTCTCCTTGTCAATTGTAGGGTCAAATTGACTAGCACGTTTTGGGAGGAGTGCGCAGGATCGACCATCCTTGCGCTGAAGCTAGGTGGATCTCCAGCTCCATCGAGTGGACCCTTTCAGCTTGCTCGTGTGCCCTCAGCACGGGACGAAATTCCCATGTCGACAGGATATTTACTTATTTTTGCAAAGAGAGTTTATTGCGAATATGTTTTTTCGAAAAAGTTTTTTTTGCCTTTGTTTTTCGGAAACGGGATGCTGGTTTTCTTTACGATGTTTTTTTTCTATCGTACGTGTTTTTTCTCGGATTTTTTTTGGGACGGTGGTTTTTTTTTGCGTATAGGGGCGGGGGGCGGGAGGTTTTATCTCGGATTTTTTCGTACGTATAGGGCGAGGACGGGGGAAGCCGGGATTTTTTTACGGTGTTTTTTCCCTAAAATTTTTTTCAGAAACGGATACGTTTTTTTACGGCTTTTTTCTGGAGGGGGAGTGGACGAACCCATTTGTTACTTTTTAGGTGTAATAGATTCAATTTAGAGCTCTGCCTTGGTCGATTGATCTTTTCTTGCTCGTCCTTTTCTTTTCCCGATTGAACTTCAACTTTACACAATTAAAAATAATTTTAAGATATAGGGTCAAATTATTTTTAAAGATGGGCACACCTAACACCCACCTTCGTAAAATAGTGAGGAGGGCTATAAGAAAACGAGAGTCTCAGTAAATCGATTTTTAGAGACGGACATCTTACGACCATCTCTGTTAATCAAAAATTTTAGTCGTTCTAAGTGTCCACCTCCTAAAATCGATTTATGGAGACGACGGAAGTGTCTCCTAAAATCGATTTATGGAGACGACAGAAGTCTTAGAATGTGCGTCTCTGTAAATAGTTACATTAGAAAATAATTTATAAGTTTTTCATATGAACTTAGATGAAGATGAACTTTATATAAAAAAAATGTAGCTCTCGACGCGATCTATAACTTTGCACCTGAAAAGTTTTTGAATTGAAACTGTTTAGGGTCTCAAAATATTGTTGTAAGTTAATTTGAAGTTTAAAATTATCAAACAATCTTAGATGTTGACATGGTCCATACGAAAGCTATAGTTCTCAACACAGTCTACAACTTTGTAGTGGAAAAGTATTTTTATTAAAGTTGTTTAGAGTCCCAAATATATGTTCTAAGTTTACTGATTTTGAAACTCACAATTTATAATTCATAAATGGTCTTGAATGTTCACATAGTTAATACCAAAGTTATAGTGGTCGACCTGAGCTACATGTTTGTTTTTTGATAAGTTTTTTATTTGAAGTTGTTTAGAATCTAAATATGTGTTCTAAGTTTATTGATTCTAAAATTTAATTTTTTAATTTTTCAAACAATCTTGGATGGAGACATCCTATACTAAAATTATAGAGCTTGACAAGATTTAAAACTTTATAGTTAAAAGTTTTTTATTTGAGTTCATTTAGTAGCCAAAATACTCAATGTAAGATTACAAAATATTGATATAAAAAGATAGCATATTATATATGGTCATAAATGAGTGTGTTGTAGTAGTAGAGGTAGGTAGTGCTAAACTTGAGGTCAAGGGTTTGATTCCTAGAAGTTGTATTTTTTTTGTTTTAGTTTTTTTAGAGACCATTAATGGAGGCAGAGGTCTTAAGATGTCCGTCGTGGCATTAACGGAGGTGGATGTGTTAAGGTGCCAGCCTACAAAAAACCAGATTAACAGAGGTGGACGTCATGCCCTCCTCCATTAATAAAAAATATTTGCCTCCGAAAATAAATCTTATCGTAGTGTTAATGTATCATACCTGAACTCCCATGGAGGTGGGCGACCGGTATTCTTTTTTATTAGGTTTTTACATGGTTGTTCCACTTTTGCTATGATGAAAGGGTTTTGGTCACATATTGGATCAAAAAATTTAGTTAGGAGGAGGCGAGACAAAGAAAAATAGAAAGACATAGTCTAGTAGCATTGTGGGATCCGTGTCAGGTACCCAACACGGATCTGCTAGGGGGATGTAGATCCTATCGAGGAGGTACTCCCAGCTAAACTCGGCGATGGCCTCCAGGGTGTGGAGGTTCATGTGGTGGACTAGCACCAGAGGCCTAGCTTCCATAGCGTCCTCGAGCCCAGCGCAAAAAAGGCAGATGGAGGGCGGCTCCTCCTCCTGAACGGGTGGCTCAGGTTCTTACATATGCAAGTTCCCAAGCTAGTCGACGATGAAGTCCAAGCTGCCGAATGTTATCTTGGCACCTGGTTGCATCTTCTCGATGTTATTGAACTTGAAGATGAGACCCATCCAAAACGTGAGGAATATGTGAGCAAAAGGCTTCTACTTGGTGCGCCAACTCTCAGAAGTATTAGCTCTGGCAATATGGATCAGCATACTACACACAGGGAATCGAATGGGCAGCACACGATGATACGAGGTTTATATTGATTTAGGTACGTGGTACCCTACGTCTAGTTTGAGGTGGATCTCTTATCTCGTATGCTCAAGTTACACTACAAGAAATATAAGGATCTATGACAAATTTTTTGTGACGATGAGTCAATTCATCAATAAGTCATTCTGTTTTATGACGACTTTAAGGAGGAGAATGACTTTTTTACGAAAATAATGTGTTCGTCATTAAGACACAATAGAAATCGTCATAACCTAGAGAAGTAGTTTGTTTATGATGATCTATGTTCGTCAAAACATGCTACCTTGCGGTCGTCATAAATTATTGACAATATTAGTTTGTTATAACTTTTTATTTACATATAATAAATGAGATAATTGGTCCCATTATCAGTTGTATTTTAATGGACTCTATATGTAATGCTATTTTTGAAAAATAAAACACAAAAAATCATCTTCGTCTCACGTCATATGATATGAAAAAGGTATACTACATTTCCTAAGGTATAGGTAAAAGATTTAGAAAATAAAAAATTAAGACAATGACAAGATTTGAACCTGAGATCCTATTATTGACAACCATGAGTCTTAACCACTAGGACATCAACATGTGACTGCTAATATTTGCAAGTTACTGCATATATAGATGCATTCTCTGCCATGTGAGGGTAGCACAGGCCAACCAGACGGGCTCGCGTCCACGCGGTGGCAGCCCAGGCCTGCAACGGAGCGCTCCACGCGGTCCGCACGGCGTGGGCACTGGGCAGCCCAGCTGGCCTCGGCACTCTTATTCCCAAAATGCAAAACAAAACGCAGCAACAGAGATTCAAACTTTGGACCTCTCACACATGGGTCCGCAGCCTTAGCCACTAAACTAGAGAAGTGTTCACGTCTATGCTAGTGTTTCGATTTATTTATCTCTGATTCAATATTAATGAAGAATAAATATCCCGTTCTTCCATGGGAGTCCGTGAGTCTTCGCATATGCGCCGCCCGGCGAATGCTCCCGTCGTCCCTTAGCTCACAGAGTTTATGAAGCTTGTTTCAGAAAACTTTGGTGCGGATGAACAGATACTCTGTCCATGCCGTAGGTGTTTGAATCGGATTTCTGGACATAAAGGACAAGTGGAGGATCACTTATATATTCAGCCTGTTCGTTCGTTGGTTTCAGTCAGGGCTTATCAGCTAGTCAACAATATTTTTCTCTGATAACAAACCAGAACCAGCTGGACTTATCAACCCAGAAATCAACCAGTGAATAGGCTGATTTATGGAATGGCTAGCACGTACACTAGGTGGATCTATCATGGAGAACCAATGGAGGACACAATGATTGAAAATACTGGCCATCAGGATGAACAGATTGATTTCACCGCGGATGTTAATTTGAATGAGGTTGAAGAAGCCGACCCTAACGATAGAATTCCTGATATTAATGACACAAGATTTATCTCTTTAGTTCGGTTACTTGTGGACAACCTACGTCCTAACTAGCCAATCTAGCTACGGCACATGGGACCGACCTAAAATAGACCCCCAAATCTATCCTTGAAGAGGATGACATGTGGGACCGACATGTCATCCTCTTCCCTATCTCATGGCCCATGGACGAACTCGGCCATCCTGTCGGTTGCATCGTGCAGGGAAGGGGAGCCGCCGGGAACGTTGGGCACCGCTGCCGTGCCGGGTAGGGGAGCCGCCGAGAGGCACAGCCGCCGGCGTCGGGTAGGCCGCACCGGGGAGGGAAGTCATGCCATGGAGGGGAAGGAAGGGCCGCCGCTGCGGAGGGGAGTCATGCCGGGGAGGGGAGGCCGCGTCGGGGAAGGGCCGCCGTCGGGTCGAGGGCGGCGCCACGCAAGGAAACCGCGGTCGAGGCCGCTCGAGTCGAGCATGGGGAGGAAAAAGTGCGATCCAGATTTTGCATGGTGGAGTAGGGGGTCCAACAGAAATAGAGGGTGAAAGGAGAAAAGTAGGGGGTCTACAAAAGTAGAGGGTGTATTAGGGGGTCTGCTGGAGTTGGTTTTTATCTCCACTACTTAAATCCAGAGTAGGAGTGAAGTAGGGGTATTGCTGAAGATGCTCTTGGAATGTCCCTATCCGCCATAGGCTGTTGAGATCTCTACGTCCACAATCCAAGCTGCTTGGTCAAATGATTAGTGGAGATGAGATTTGTTTATGGCGCCAAAAGGGTGTGACGAGTGGTGTGGTTTGGTTCGGCGGATACCATCATTAGTGTCAGACTTACTAGGCGGAAATCACTCTAGATCTTTTTTTTATCTCAAGTCGCTCTAGATCTTCAGCCTGTTCGCTGATTGTTTTCTGGGCTAATAAGTCTGGCTGACGCTGATTTGTTGTGAAAGAAAAATACTATTGGTTGACTGATAAGTCTTGATGAAACCAACGTGCGAACATGCTGCTTGCCTAAAGTAGAAAGGCCAATACAGTATTTGGTGACGATGGCAACGGAAGGATATGGAAAGGACAGCGCGAATCAGAAAGGCACGGCACGTTCTACTAGCTAAGAGAGAATAAAAAAATCCACAAGTGGCCAAGTGGGCGGCGGACGGCTGACGGCGGACCGCCGTGCCTAATGACGATCAAGAGAACGTACGACAACCCAAGGATAACAGATTGTGTCATTATCTGAGTTAGGCTTTTGTTTGCGGCTCCTCATATGGATTGATCTTGTTGACAAAAAAAAAATTGTCCCTTTTACGAGGTTGTTAAAATGTGAAATGTACGTTATCATTGCGTTCTTCTCGTGCCTCGTCGTTCTTCACCACGAAAACGTGTTGGTTACCCGCTGCGTTCTTCGATAAGTGGCGACTCGAACGATTTAGCCCTAGCTGTGTTATTCGGTATGTGGCGACCCGAACGATCTATTTTTAGTTAATATGTGACCGACCTTCGCGTCAACAGATCTAACATAGTACTCGACATTTGTTTAGGCTTACGCCTAAGACTTTGCGTGGTTAGGGAGACTAAGTGGGTTATTTTTTTTATCAGCTGTCTGTGTAGGTTAGTTGATATTGCTTTTTTGTGTTTGATTGGTTGGCTTTCAAAATATGTCAAGCCAAAAATTTGGCGACTCATGATTTTGGCTATTGTTTGATTTTTTATCAAAACTTGCTAATTCATCATATTTGATTTGCTAAATCTATGATAAGATTTTTTATCTAGCTTCAGCTTATCAAATCTTTCACATGGCAAATTTTGGTCGCGAACCCATCCGACCCTTTATTATTCCAGTCTTCGGTTAGGTGGTAGACGACGTGACGACAGTATTGGCGTTGCGCTGGGCTCGGCCTTGGAGGAATGGACTGCAGGCCTGGAGTGTGTGCAGTCAGGCCTGTTTCTCCCTGCTCCCGCTGCTGCTGGTTTGGCCCGCTCAGACCTGTTGGATGAGCATGAGCTCGTGGCCGCAGGCCGCAAGCCCAAGACCTGCTGGTTTTGGCAGAAATAAAAAATAAATGATGCAATCACTTTAGCAAAATTTACCAAGGAGAAATGGGAATTCGATCGAAGCGGTGAAAATTTGCATCCCGTACCCGCAACACCCCTGATTTGTCCCCTCTTTCTCTCCAGCAATCAAACCCCCAAAACCCTAAACCATGGCGCCGCCGGCCCCTTCCGCCGGCCCCGCCTCCTACTTCGCCGCCTGCTCTCTACGGTTACCGAAGCAGCGGCGGAGACACCTGCGCCCTCCGCCCCTGCCGCCGCCTCCGGTGTCGCTGCGCCCAACGCTGCCGCCGCCGCCGCCACGAAGCCGGCGAAGAAGGACCCGAGGCTGCTCTACCGTCGTCTGTCGGCGCTTGGAATAGCTGGGGAGGGGAGCGTGTCGCGGGTGCTGAACAAGTGGGTGCGGGAGGGCGGGGCGGCGCGAAGCGAGGAGCTCGTCAAGCATGTCAAGGAGCTCCGCAGGTACAAGCGCCACGCCCACGCCCTCGAGGTATACGCCTGGCTCCGCCTTGCCTACCAACCAAGCGCGCCCATTCGATTTGAGTTCTGGTTAGGGTTAGGCAATTTGTTTGTGGTTTACGAATCGTCCAGTGTTTGCTGGTTATTACATAGGTTTAGGAAGACTTGCAGTTAGTTAGGGACCCTTTCCTGTCTGGCGGTGGTTACAGCAGATCAATGATGGCGGTGGTGGAATCATGGCTTGGGGTTTGCCAGCCCTGTTTATCTTCGCTTCCGGGGCTAGTAGGTTCTGTGATGGACAGCAGTGGTTCTGGCTGGCAAGATATATAGACAATTGACGGGAGGCGGTGTGGGTGCAATTGCTGGATTGTCACCACCCGCGTTGCCCATAGCGAGATTGAAACACGGATGTTAGCAAATCACAGATAATTAGATGATCCTGATAATGTGAGGAGGGAGTCCGACTCCCTTTCTCTCTTCTGTTTCTCAATTCTTTCTTGTTGCCCTCTGTCTCCAGCTTCTCTCCTATATAGCTACCCCTCGGTTCTGCCAGCCCAAAACCACAAGGACCAAAGCCCATGACAACTGGGCCCCATAGATGGGCATTGAGCTCGACTATGCACATTGCCTTCTTGATATCCACACCGAAGGCTAGCTGTTGTAACAGACCTTCATATTTGTCCATATCAGAATGCATCTTCGAATCCCACACAACTCTGCTATGCATTCAGCTAACACCTCACTATTGTCAAGATAAACCTGCAATTTCTTGCACTTGCTCGATCCACTCATTTTCTGCCTGTCCAGATTGGCACATTTTTTGCTTGTCCAGATTGGCACATATCCTTCTCATCATGGCTGCAGTTTTAGACTCCACTTGCTCCTGATATTCATGGCCGCCCGGCAGGGCATCATCGCAAACCACATCCATACAACGCATTGCATGAAGCATCACATGTGAAGCTCCCTGTGATGTCACTATATCCACAAACTCAACCTGCTTGGTCAGTAATATAGCTTCATTCTCAAGATGCATTTCAACAAACATATCATGCATAGAATCCACACCAATTGCCAACATATAAAAATGGTCATTGGCATGAGTGAGCAAGTTGTTGATGGCTGGTTCAGTACTTTCCTCTCTTCATCAAAGTAATCTCCACTTTGAGCTAATTGCTGCAGTAAACCGTGGTGTGTGCCAATGTCAGCTGGTATTTCATCCCACACAACCTATCCAGAAATTTCAGCCAACACTTTAGGGGGCATCACCATCAGACATCATCGGTGGCATGAAGGCAGCCTGATATAGATGTGTTGTGGCCATTTCCTTGGGAGACATTTCATCGAACAATACATATGCAGGTCCTCCGGATACTGTAACCCCGAACATGACCTGCTCAGCTAGGGGCTGTGTCCTCCTCAAGTGTCATTCCCTCGAACACCCTGTGGGCAACATCCTCAAACACTACCCTGTCATGGAAACCACCTGCTCATGTCGCTGTGTCACATTGCACCACTGATTACTGCATGGTGCTGGTCGTCCGATTAATTCCATGTTCTTGTAGTGTCAATAGTGTTACCAAGTCGTCTGATTAATCAGCCTGGTCTGTCCCCTGCCTCCTATTAGGTCCACTGACCTGATTTGGTCAAGTAGCTTTTGAGTCATCTGATTAATCGTTGCATAACCAGTGCTGGGTGGGCCTGTGCATGTGTGCTGCTAGGTAGAGCTTTTGGGCTGCTAATTTGGCCCATTAGGGTTAGGCCTATACATGGGCCTCCAGTCTTCCACTGTCCGGGGAGGAGACTCCAGACGGGAGTGCTCTTGTATCCCCGAGCTCGTGCTGTCGCCAGCGTTCAAAAAGGCGCTCTTCCGCGCTCGCCTAGGCGCGCCTCTGCGCTAGGTGGAGGGGTACCGCCTTGCCTATGGGGGTAGGCGGTACCATAGGCGGCACCAGCCCGGCGGCGACGGATGCACGCAGATCCATGACTCTTGTAGGCGATGCTGACATTGGGCGGCGGTGGAGGAGAAAGGGGCGTCGGGCGGAGGTCGCCGGTGGGCGAGGAGGAGCGTCGAGCGGAGTCAGACGGCGTGTGCGGGCGGCGGCGACGGGCGCGGACTGAGAGAGATGAGGGAGAGGGAGAGGAACCGGCGGCGGCGGGCATGGCCTGAGCGAAAGATGCAGGAGAGGGAGAGGAACAGGCGACGGCAGCGCGGACAAAGAGAGAGATGCGGGAGAGGGAGAGGAACAGGCGGCGGCGGCTGATACGCGGGAGAGGCCGAGCAGGCGAGCAGAGCACAGAGAATACGTAGGTAACTAGGGATGGGGTCTTGGTGGGGTGTTCAGACTTGGGCTTTGGGCTGTCTGATGGGCCTTTCTCTTTAATGAGGTCCACTTATTTCCTATTTTTCTTTTCTTTTTTAAACATATATGTGTGTATATACAATAATACAAACGCCTAGGCTCGCTTAGGTTGGAGGGTCACCGCCTAGAGAGCACCTAACGCCTTTTGTAACATTGGCTGCAGCACAGCTGCCTCTGCCGCTTTCCTTGCTGCCTGCACCGGATCCCTTCCTCAAGCTGCCACCAGCTCCAGTCCCTGCCTTTGCCAAGCACCACGGGTTCCCATCCCTCAACCACTGCAGCAGCCAAGCGCCACCAGATTCTGCCACTGGGTCCCTTCTTCCTTCCTGAAGATGAAGCTTCTGTCCTCCAATCCTCCATCTTCTTGCTACATCTGCTCTACTTTAATTTCTGATCTGCAACCCTGCCTTTTCTAGCTTTGTTGCTGCTCTTTGCCTCTTGCTCTACTGCTGCTGCAGCTCTAGCTCTACTAGCCATTAAATCTCTCAAGAATCTACTGCTCTGGTGTTTTTGTACTATTGCAGCTTGCTTTATACTATATACTACATATCATATCAGTCCTGGTATATGCAGGACGACTAGGCTCAACTAATCGAGCTGGTCGACAACTAATTGCAACTAATCATTTGGTTGGTGCCTTAGAGACAGATAATTCGATAACAGTGAGTGTCAAATTCAAGTTAGAGAGTTAGAGTAGTAGCAAATATGCAATTGCTCTTCTTTGTACATCTGCTATTGATGCTTAAGTTATGGTTGGTATTACTTGATCTATAATGTGCCATCGTTTTCATGCAGGTGATGGATTGGATGGTCAATGCAAGGGGTATGAACATGTCAATCACTAACCATGCAATACGTCTGGATCTCGTCTATAAAGTGCGTGGCCTTGAGGCAGCTGAGAATTATTTTGCTAACCTCCCTGATCCAGCCAAGAATCATCGAACTTATGGTGCCCTTCTTAGTTGTTATTGCTCAGCAAAAATGGAAGAGAAAGCAACAGATCTCTACCGCCAGATGGATGAACTTGGCATCTGGTCCGGTACACTACCCATCAATAATCTGATGTCCCTTTACATGAAGTTAGACCAGCATAGGAAGGTTGATAGTCTCTTTGAGGAGATGAAAGTGAAGAATGTTAAACCGGATAACCTCACATGCTGCATTTTGATGACCAGCTATTCAGCATCGAACAAGATAGATGCCATTGAAGAACTTCTTAAAGAAATGGTAGAAAAAGATGTGACTCTTGGGTGGTCTGCATATAGCACACTTGCTTCTATCTATGTAAATGCTGGACAGGTTGAAAAAGCAGAATCTGCTCTGAAGAAACTCGAGGGGCTTATTAGTGCTGAAGATGGCAGGCAACCTTTTGATTTCCTTATGAGCCTATATGCTTCACTAGGCAATTTGAGCGAGATCAATAGGGTATGGGATGTGATAAAGGCCAAATTCTCCATGGTAACCAACATAAGCTACCTCGGCATGCTTCATGCTCTTTACAAGCTCAATGATATTGACCGCATGAAGCAGATTTATATGGAGTGGGAATCTAATTATCAAACCTATGATGTAAGACTGACAAATATGATGATTCGTGGCCATCTGAAGCTTAGCATGAGCGAAGAAGCAGAAACGTTGAGGGAGAAGGCCAAGGAAAAAGGTGCGGAGTTTGACTCCAAAACATGTGAGTTGTTTCTTGATCACTACATGGGCAAGGGGGACATGAACTCGGCACTGAACTGGGTAGAGAACATGACCAAACTCCCCAAGAAAGCAGGGAAGCTCGATCAGGACAGGATCTACATGTTCCAGAAGTATTTTGAAGAACACAAGGATGCTGACAGTGCCGAGAGGTTCTGCAACTGCCTGAGGACGCTAGGGTGCATTGACGGGAAAGCATATGAGTCCCTCTTGCGCACATACTTGGCAGCTGGTAAGAAAAGCTGTTCGCTCCGTCAACAGATAAAAAACGATAAGATTGAGATCTGCTATGACATTGGGAAGCTACTCAAGAGGTTGGGCGACGGAAGATGAGATAAATATATTTATCTATCTTCATTCCAATTTGCTTGAGTGGTTAATTCTGTTGATCCCTTCCATGAGCATCAGAAATCAAATGTAGATCCAACGGTTTGGGTGTCCGCATTGGAAACATATCAGTTCTTTCGTTGTTCCATGTAAAGGATAGCTCATGCCTGGGCTGGTGCCCTTCGAGCTTTTGGTGCTCTTACAAAAAGCAGTGGGGGACAATAAGATTCTTGCAAGTGCAACGTGAGGTCTTGTCTAGCTAGGCTTTTTTGAGATACTCCTTTGTTCTACTTTTCTTCTTCTCAGGCCTTGTTTAGATTGATGTTTGGAATTAGTATTTGACACTGTAGTACTTTCGTTTGTATTTAATAATTATTGTCTAATTATGGCCTAACTAGGCTTAAAAGATTCGTCTCGTAATTTACAATCAAACTGTGTAATTAGTTATTTTTTTATCTATATTTAATACTCTATGCATATGTCTAAAGATTTGATGTGATAGAGAGAGAGTGAAAAAACTTGTAATCTAAACGAGGCCCCAATAAAAATGCTGTTACAGCACGAATCCTACTACAGAGCCGCTTCTCTTTCCATGTCTTGTGGTCAGTGTGCCATCAGGTTGATGTCCTGACAATGATATGCGCACGCTCGCGAGAAGTGGTGTGGATAGGTTTCTGTGAACAGAGCAGCGATTCGTGCTGGAAATAATTGCCTGCAGGACGGTGGTCGAAAGCTGTCTACAGGTGTGCCTAGGCTTCTGTCGTGTCAAACCGTGAAAATGGTGAACCTGAAATCGAGATTTTTTTTTTGGTGGTACAGACATACAGTTGCTGAACATGTTAGTCTACTTAGTTGTATTGTGTCATTTTTTGTCATGTGACTATTTGTTGCCAAATATACTATCATAAACATCCTTACGAGTTACGACTATGCGGCGTTTTAAAGATGAGGAATGGTTTTCGTAAAACAGTTTGCATATTGTCAATTTATACTAATTAATATATGCTATTGAGGATTCGACAATCATGTGACCTCTACCCAAGACAACGTTAGCAGTGTTTCTGCTACTAGAAATTTTCAAACCATGTAAGCAACATTGAGAGCCTCTTTGGAACTAAGGGTTAATTGTTAACCAGCTAAAATTAGCTCTAGTGCATTCAATTAGGAGGATTAATAGGTGAGTTAATTTCTAAGTTGGGTGTTCGATTAGTTGTTAACTAATTAGCTAACCAATCTTTACTAATTTGGGCTAATATTTAGTTCAAATTAGTAACTAGCCATGTATATCTAAATTGGCCTTTGTTGGGCGTTTTTTTATATGTTGTGATATATAATTCTATTTTATTATAATAAATATTTTCATATATTACAACGGATATACTCCATCCATTCTCTTTTCTTAGGCGTGGAGAAGAATTTTACATATATGAAGGAATTTTAAATAGCTTTTGCATGGTTATTTGGACAACTTGTGGCTCGAAGGCTTGTAATTGCACCATGAGCTTCAATTATTCATTGCTTTTGCATGTTTCTGATCCTCGTTAGTCGTTACCCTGTCTCATACACCTGCACCATCCCCCAGTACCCCACATGTGCCGCTACTGTGGTCGGCATGCACGCCAACCCCGTTCGCTTGGCTGAATTTGGCTGAAAACACTGTTTCGGCTGAATTGTTGTGAGAGAAAAATACTGTTCCGACTAAAAAAAGAAGCCGAATAAGTCGGATTATAAGGTCGGCCGAACAGGGCAGCCTTGGTGTCTTTGTTTCTCTTCCATGTTAGACAAGAAAGGTGTAAATTTGTTTTGTTCTTATGTATTAGTACATTCGTCCACAAAAGAATGCAATTCTCGTATTTCAAGAAGTCAAACAATTTAAATTTTGACTAAAATTATATAAAAATATACTGGTCCTCACGAAACAAAATAAGTATCATTAGATTAGTTATAGGATATATTTTCATAATAAATTTAGTTGGAGACATAAATGCTAATAATATTTACTATAAACTTAGTTAAAGTTGAACTTGTTTAACCGGCACGTTACCCATTATTGCGTTCTTTAGGGGACGGAGGGAGTATGTCATCATGTCACAAATTTTCCTCATGTTACTAAATTATCGTATATAAGATACACATGGATGTCATGGGTTTTCTTGTCACTTTTGGATAAGTAGGTATATAAGGGGCTTAAGCACAACATGTATGATGTGGTGGTAGGGAGTGGGGAGTGGGGAGCGCGAAGCAAGTAAAGCTAATCGAATTTGATTATAAATTGCGTATGTGTCCTAGGTTCGATTGGTTTATTGAACAGTTAAATGGCCGTACAAATACGTATAGAGAGGGTTCTTAGGTTTCATGACGTGGTGGTATGGGAGTTATCTTTCACTAAACATTTTTGCCGGACATCGGACAGAGGTGATTTGGTTTTTTTTCCTTATTAATTATGCGAGGGACAACAGACAACACGTTTTTTTTTCGTTTGTGACAGACATCGGACTGCCGGACTGGCTCGTGGCTTTTGCTGTATTTTCAAGTATAATAAGATGCACTAGACTTTCAATTTGACTTGTCAAACGGACATCGATGAAATTCAAGCAAAGTGTTCCTTCCAAAACGCTGAAGCCGATTCGTGCAGAAAATACTCAGGGCTTTTTGAAACACAGGAATCAAAAAACAGGAATAGAAAAAAACGTAGAAATAGGGTAGATGTGTAGTGGTAAAACAGAGGAAAGAAAAAATATGGGAAATAACTAGAAGGGGTGTTTAGAACGCAGGAATCCAAAACTCAGAAAAAAAAAACGTTGCGACGAGCTTGGTTAGCGCACGAGCATTGCATGAAAGTTTTCCAAGAGTACTAACCGCATTCTTTTTTTCCTCCAAAAGTACACGCCTTGTCACCGTTCCTCTGGAAAGGTTTTGCTGAATTCCTTTGTTCCAAACGCGCGGACACAATTCCTTTCCTCTGGAACCAAATCCTCTTCTTTTCCTACGATTTTCCTTCGTTCCAAACGCGGCCTAACAGGTCCAAGAGTCCAAGGAATCTCACGACACCAACTGCCCATAACAAAACTAGCTGCATCAAGCTAAGACTATATTCATATATGTAAAGTCACAGATTAAAGAACCCTAGAATCACCCGAGAAAGATTACAGAAAAGCTGCTAGTCTTATTTTTTTCCTCAACCAGAATGTCCAATTTACAAAGCAATCCAAGATGCAAACAGCAGTAGGCCAGGACCTCGACCGTTCTTGAGGGGGCTTACTTGCCCCCTCCAGGCCCTCCCAGCGTGAGCACAACATCGTGCAGGTCGCTGCTGCCTCGCTCCGGCTCGGACTTGACGGCCTTTGCCGGGAACCCTTGCCGCGCGTGCTGGGCACAGTCCGGCAGCACGAAGCCCGTGGCCTGCGGCACCGGCCGGGCGTGGACAGGGATGGCGTGCGCCAGCAGTGGCCGTTGCTGGGGAGGCACGGCTGAGCTCGTCAGGATCTGGTGATGAATCGTCGGTCTCGGCGCTGTAACTCCAGGTCCCTGAGAGAAAGCCAAAGGCAAGAAACATCAAGAACACACCAAGAATGGAGCCCTGATATCATCTATATGTTGTTTCTGGGTGGTTTGCTTACAGGAGCAAATAGAACGCCTCTGAAGAGCTGCCCATTCACGACGGCGGTCATGAGGTACCCAGAATCGAAAGCTCCATCAATCGTCCCATGAACCTCGGCGCCAATCTGCAGATACAAAGCAATGGCTATTAGGAATCATGATAGATCGACACTGAACATTGTTCCTGATGAATGTGTGTGTGTGAGTGGCGTACAAGGGGTGGGCCTGGAGGCCGGGGCTGAGGCTTATGATCAGAGGAAAGGAACTGCACTTCCTGCCGATGCTGTGGTGCGATGCTGCGGAGAAACTGGTCTGTCTTCAGAGGCCTTGAGGAAATGCCTCCAGGTCCAGGAGCCCTCAGAGCGCCATTAGCCTTGAGACGAACAAATGGTTGCAGGCCTGAAATCGATGTGTTGGGGGAGGCCGAAAGTTTGTGAGCTCCATTCTGCTCTTGATCTGACTGTGACGGCGAGGAATGTTGTGAAAGAGACAGTGAGTGCTCCTCTTGCTCTGACTCAGGCTCGTTCGGGCGAACTTCACCGGTTTTCCTTCGTTTCGTACGGCCATTCTCTGGAGATACCGACAATGTAACAATACATGTGTCACAAATATAACATCGGCAGAATAGAAGTCTCGTTTTTCTTTTCATTATTTTTCATTCACTTACCTAGGCCACGCAGGAACGGATTTCTTTGCTCGATTTCTGCTCCTCGAGGTTTCTGAGCCATTTCTCCATTGCTCACACTGGCATCTTTCTGCCATATTGTCTTATGATGAGTCATACTGGTGTTTGTGTAACAAATTAAGACCAAAAGTAATCAAGGAAAATTAAGCTACTTACAGTTTCTGATCTGAGGAATTTCCTCTTCTCTTGGCTCCAATGGTTGCTAAGAACCTTGCACATTGAAATGTTGTAACGGCCATTTGGATGCTCAGAGCCAAATTGCAGAATGAGAAGCTCATTCAGGGGACGCTCATCTTCGCCACATCTGTAAATTTTCCGAGGTATACAAAATTGTTAGCTAAATATAATTTTTGTGTTTTGATAATATCAAATCTACTACAAACAAAAAACTGTCCCTGCAAACTTACCCTCCATAGATTGCAATGTCAGTATTCATGACTACTGCAGTATGAGAAAACCTTCCCTGGGGTTGCTGCCCGCATACCTCAAGCTGACTCCACGAACGGTTTGTGACATCAAGAACCCAGACATCGCTGTAGTATTGCTTGTCACCAACTCCTCCAACAATATAGACCTACACAGACGTGCTTTGTTCAGGATCCAGTAACCGCATTTTCTCGCGAAATTTGTTCCTTTTTATTTCAAATAGCTGGTGATGCTAACCTTAGACCCAACACTCATAGCTGCATGACCTGCTCTGACGCCAGGCGATGCACCCTTT